GACCCACTCCAACAGCTCCAAATCCTTCCTGTACCGGGGGCCTCAGGCCTGTGCACAGTACTCCAGATGGGGCCTCACAAGGGCAGAGCAGAGGAGGACAGTCCCCTCCCTTTTCCTGCTGCCATCCCTCTGTTGATGCAGCCCAGGGTGCTGATGGCCTTCTGGGCTGCAAGTGCACACTGCTGGCTCTTACCCAGTTTTTTGTTTGCCGTGAGCTGATGGGATGAAATCTCTGCTTCTGGAGCAGTCTGTCCCACCAAAGGATGTGCCAGGCCACAGGTAGTATTTCAGCTGCTCAGCATCAGGCTGTGGTTGATCAAGGGATGCTCTATCTGACCCAGTTTTGAATCAAACATATCCAAATCGATGGGATGCTCTCACTGCACCCAAGGGTTTGCTGGTAACGGCTTGGAAGAAGGACTCTCCTTCCTAGAAAACTCAGACTGCAGAGGAGGAAGGGAAAAAGGACACGGGATCACACTGTAGCTGCAGCTCCGAGATGCAGGAGCACATGGACTCGAACCTCCCAGGGAGCTGGCAAGGGGGCTTGGCCAGGGATGAAGGTGGAAGGCCTCATCTCAGAGGAATGTTCAACAGCAGAGGAAAAGAGCTGTGAGAGAAAACAAGTGGTGTCATAGAGATGAGGCATGTGGTAGCTGGGAGGGAAGGGGAAGGTTCGTCCAGGTTCAGTTCCAGGGGATTAATGACTGTCAGTGGGGAAGGCTGGCGCAGGATTCCTGCTTCAGGTTTCAGCACTTCTGTTCCTCCTTCTTCCAGCTTAATTGAGTTATGATGATCGCAGTCATTGCATTTTTCAGTGAGAAGAAGGCTCAGGGGCTGGGATGCCCGCCTGCAATTCCAGCAATTCCAGTTCCAGCAGCCTGCATCTGAGAGTTGCACGAAGGGGGAAAGAGTGCATTTAAGCAGAAAATGCTTTTGTATTTTAAATAATCCAGGTTATTCTGATGAAACATTGAAGTCTGAGGAGTTCCTGGAGAATACAGGGTTCCTGCTATGTAGCCCCATGCTTTGGGTGGGGATGTGCTGCCATGGCTCTGGCGCAGGATGAACAGATGAGGCTGGGCACGGCAGTAAGAGGTAAAACCAATTACCTGGCAAGAGGAATTAATTACTAGAATAAAAGTGTGAAGTAACCACAGGGCATTTGCTGCAGTGTTTCACTGCCTCTATGGGCGGTTAATGGGCACTGTCAGCTGAGCAGCTTGGGACCTTACCTGGCACATCATAAAGCACCATGCTCACCATAAATAATAGGTTTGATACATCTCCACTTCCTTCCAGCTGGACCTCCAGGTCCCAGGTTTTGTAAAGTAACCTTCCTCTGAGGGTCAGGTACCAGAAATGCCTGTGCTCTAGCAAAATCCTTTCTTCAAATCTTTTGCAAGTGAGAGATGAACACTGGCTCCAAGCCCAGCGCTGCCTGAGTGCCCAACCCGCAGGTTTGGTTGGCAGTTCCCAAATGAGGCACTGCCTACCAGAACCATAGGATGGGGCTTCTCCTCATCCTCCAGATACAGAAATAGACAGGAGGGTGCCGAAAATTTGTCATCACTTCAGGCCTGGAGGGAGACAAGCTTTATTTGAGTTCATTCCTGGGAGCACATTTAGCTGGCTGCTGCTCTGACTGTCAGCCTCAGTCTGCAAACGCTTGACCCAAATCCAGGGACGGAAGGAAAAAGCCTTCAGACCGTCCTCATAGCCTGCATCCCGCCCCTCCAAAACAAACAGACCGCTATGTTTTGGCTTAGCAAAAACGTTGAAATAAATTATGTTTGATACAAGTCAAAAGCTATTTCAGAAGTGAAAGCCGCGGTATTCCTGCCAGAGCACACTGTGCCTGTGCACACCAACACACAGCCCAGCCAGCCCTGCTGCTCCCCCCACAGGGAGCCTCCAGGTGGCTTTGGAAGATCCCCAAGGAGGAGAGCCCACAGCCTCCGTGCACCAGTGCTCCTGCACCTGCACAGCACAGCAGTGCTCCTGGTGGTCAGAGGGAACCTCCTGTGTGTCAGTTGGCACCCAGTGCCTCCTGTCCTGGCACTGGGCACCACTGAGCAGAGCCTGGCTCTGTCCTTTCTGCACCCTCCCTTCAGTTTTCTATGGACACTGATGGGATCCTCCCAAGCCTCCTCTTTCCAGGCTGACCAGTCCATGATACTGCTTAATTCTGGTAAGCTGGTTATGTTTTCCAAATCTGTTAATTACTGAAGACGTCCTAAAGTGACTCTATATTACAGGTTCTGAAAGATCTTGAACATTACATTGCTTTCCAAAATGTCAAAAAGACCAATAAAAATGAGATACTTGGCCAGAGGTGGCTGGGCAGTTGCATAAACTTTGAGTATCTGCTAAATTTGTTGTGTAAAATTTTCTGATGCAGTTGATTTTATTGAAATTGCGTGCTTTCACAAACATCATACATAATTTGCTGCTTAGTTCTTGGATTTTTTCAAATGAAATCTCAAAGGAATCTAAGGTCAGAGGGCTGGAGCACCTCCCCTGCAGACTGGCTGGGGGATTTGGGCTTGTTCACCTTGGAGAAGAGAAGGCTCCAGGGGGACATTATTGAGGCCTTCCAGTACTGAAAGGGAGCTTACAAGCAGGAGGGGACCAACTTCTTTACACAGACAGATAAAGAGAACAATTTTAAACAAAAAGAAGGGAGTTTTAGGTTAGATATTCGGAGAAAAGAAGCTGTGGGTGCCCCATCCCTGGAGGTGCTCAAGGCCAGGTTGGATGGGGTCCTGGGCAGCCCCAGCTGATGGGGGGCAGCCCTGCGCAGGAGATTGGAACTGGATGGGCTTTAATGTCCCTTCCAACCCAAACCATTCTGCAAGTCTATTATCATTATGAAGAAAACCTTGCTGGAGGAAAGAGAACCAAAGCAGCCAGGGCCTCAGCTGCCCCCGAAGCCTGCAGGCTGTGGGGCTGACCCTGCAGCCATTTCCTGCCATGAGTCTGGAAACACCAGGACCATCAATCCTGTCCTGTAACTGGACAGCATCCAGTTACAGGGTGAGCAGCTGAAGACTCATCCCCAAGAACACAAAGGAGGAGAGACACAGCAACAGGAGGAAAACTCTGGGGACCTTACAGACACACTGCATGTACATACCTACCTACGTTGGCTGTAGGAACCCAAGCTGACACCATGGTACCAGCCTGCACAGAAAACAGACACAGCTGCTCTGACACAGCCCCAGATTGTAACCCCTTACAGCTCAGTGCTACTTACCACCTGGGATCAGCCGTCAGAATTTCAGACCTGTTTTCCACGACACAGATACTCTAAAATTAGAGTCAGAAATGGGAAAACAAACATTGGGAAGGTTATTCCAAGCATGCTGAAAACACTTTTTATCCCTCCTCTTTTCTTCCAGAGATAGGATGCATCCCCCATCCTTCCGGGCTTGAGGAACAAGGAGTGATTACAACACTGGCAGAATTGCTATGATTGCACATGGGCAGCATCAGACAACACTCAGCTTTCCTGCTGCTGGACCAAGGTCAAGAGAGCTTCAGAGGTGTGGAAGAGGTCCTGGAGATGCTGCTCAGCACGCAATGAGGCCATGGCTTTAGGCAAAGTGTGCGCCCCAGTGGCAAAGGCTAAGGCACTGCTGGCCAGAAATTACTTTTAACAAGACCTTTGTAAAATGGTTCACATGAAAACAACATTTAACTTCATAAAAAAGGAGGCAGCCCGTAGACTGGAAAATAAACCTCCTATTAACCTTCTTTTACTGCCTACAATCTCACACACAGGCACACCTCGCTGTACTGGCAGTGCAGTGGGAGGAGGGGAGCTCCACTCCAGCCCGCAGTGGCACAGGGATGCACGCGTCCATGCAGACAGATAGCAGCCCCTTTCCATGTCTTTGTGTGATGCAGGAAATCCCCATTCCCTTTTTATATATTTTCAGATCATCTGAGGAAAAATTATGATGAGTCATCTACAGCAGCTGCAGCCGCTTCCTGATGTTTTCTGTTGCTTGATACCTTCATGACTCAGCTCGAGTTTCTCTTCTCCCCTCTCCCCCCTTGAAGATCTACCATGGATGAGGATTTTTTGGTCTATCCCATTTTCAAATACCACACTGCCTTTTATGCAAGCAAAACCAATTTAGGCTGTAGTGTCTCTTCTTGTCCTTACCCATTAACTGCAGCTTTTCCAAACCCATTTATTCAGGTTGCCTCTGATGTGGATGGGAAGTAAGTAGATAAAGCTGCCTTAAATCTTTCAGAGCCCCATAATGTGGTGGACTTAAGAGTTTTTCCTACTACGAAATTAAACTACCTGGAGAATTTGCTTTTTCCTTCCATGGCGACCTCCCCTGGCAGGACCAGATGCCACCCTGAGAAACTGCGAGGCACCTCCTTCTTTCCCTTCCAGATATCCTCCAAACAGCAACAAAACAGAATTTCACAAGCACACAACATCTGACAGAAATAGGGAGGGTACTGTGACTCCTGCAGACAGCTTCCCTGTCCAGAAGAGAAGCGAGCAAGACCCCCACCCAACTGGATTTTAAGGGCCTGGAGGGATGCTGGCCAGAGCCCCAGACATCACCCAGAAGAGCAGAAGAGGTTACCAGACCTTTGCTTTTGGCCTGGCTTGCTACAGATGCAAGCAAACCCAAAGGGCCCTCCTAGCCTCAGAAACCACACTGAAGTCGTGCAGGTCAGAAGGCAGTTCTCTCCCACTACTACAGAGTCAAAGATCTGTTTCTGCCCCACCCCATGTTGCAAACTAAAGCTCAGAAACAGAGGAAACAAATCAGTTCTTACTTTCTCCTCATTTTTGAGGAGACAGGAGAGACTCAATGACTTAATAATGTTTTAATAGAAAAAGTGCATTTAGAAAAACAGTTACCTGTAATTTTTTTTTCATACATGGAAGTAGTTCTCAAGGAACGTTTGGATGTTGTGTTGAGGGACATGGTTTAGTGAGAACCAGTGATGATGGGTGAATGGTTGGACTGGATGATCCTGTGGATCTTTTCCAACCTTAGTGATTCTATGATTCTATGATAAGTAAACAAAAACCATCTTTAACTAGTTTTGATGCTTTGTGCGATTAAGCAATAATCCAAATGTATCTTTGACCATGCACTAACTGAAGTTTCACCTTATACCCAGAAACACATCCCAAGGGAGCAGAGATCAATACAAACAAGTGTGTCAAAGTAGTATAAAATAAGATTTATTTGCAATTACTTTGACAAAAAGGAAACAAGTATATCTGAGATGTGTGTTGGGGATTGCAAAGCCATTCTTTTATCTTCTGAGATTTCCATTTATACGAACCATGGAATACTTCCAGAATTCAGAAGAAGCTTTGAAGGTTTGGTTTTGTCTTGTCCTGCTGTTCCCTCCATTGGCACAATTATAGGAGACAAACTTTGTAACAAGAAGTAGCACATGTAAACCAAGGTTGTTATGTTGTGTTTTAAGAAAAACTTAGACAATAGCCTTTTCACATTTGTTCAGGACAGCGTTAAGCACTTCAGGATTCCCTCCAGGAGAAGTGCCTGGTGCTGCAATAACACAGAGAGCCCCACAATCAAACACACTCCACCCTGAAATGTCACATCTCTACTGAAACTTCACCTTTCTCATGTAAGACACAGCACATCTGGTTATGACCCAAGTTCTCACTCTTGGAAGCTAAGGAGCTGTGCCTCATGTAAAAATTATAAAAGTTTGATATTTAATAAGAACTGCAGTGTAAAAATGAACCTGTGATAAAGGCAATACAAACAGTGAGCTTGTGTGATTGTGGAAGGGTAACCTCTAAATTACAGCTGCTCATAGCAGTTACAAAGGAAGACAGCGGTATCTTCAGAACAACTCAATCAGCCTCATTCTCTCCAGCTTTCAAAAAGCCAGGAAATCTCAACTCTGAAGTTGTACTTCTAATTAGATGAGATACAAAGCAAATTTCCAACTCCCTAATGTTCTCTGAGCAATCTTGCTCACTAAGCATACCTTGCTTTAAGTGGAAGTCCAAAGTGAGCATCACAAAACAAAGGAATAACTGCTGAGAGAGGAAATCAAGGACCCCAGATTGGATCCATTTTTTCCGACACAGCTCTAGAAAATATTTCTTTTTCTAACAGGGACTTTTTGCCTCCCCATGAAGTTCAAAATAATTTCAATACTCAACACTGGAAAAATAGTAGTTTGTTTGTTTTTTTTTCCTTCTCTGTAAATACAATAATGCAAAGTAAAGATGCATAGGCATTATTGTCACCAGTTCAAACAAAGCATTAATGAATGCATTAAATCATTCAAATGTAAATAAACGTTGCATACATAAAAATATGCCCCAAATCTTAAAATAATGTTATAACGGTATAACTACTGTATTAGTGACAACCACTGCAGTTAGTTATTTTGGCAACAATATACTTACATGCGTCTTAGATACATTATTTCATTTTAGCCTACTTTTGAACAACTGAAATAAGACCCAACTTAGTCATCAATCTACATTATAATCCACCATAGGTGTCCCACCACCCCTTCTAAGAAATCTAGTGCATCTTTATGGGAAAAATATACTTGGTCACATCAATCAATGAAATGATTCTGGGAGCAAGGCACAGAATCCAGGATTCTCCTCAAGCTGAATGCCACAGCTAACATCAGACTGCTTCCTGAGCAAGCTCAAAACTGGAAAAGAGACAAGGATTCAGAACAAATTTTATGTTGACTACCTACACTCTTTTCAATCTCAATTCAGCCATCCAACTTCACAGAATGGCAAGAGTTTGCATTTACTTCCTGTTGTACAGCTCCAAGCCTTTACTTGAAGCCACGTCAATCTCCACAGTTGCAGTGTATTGTGAAAACCAAACTGCATGTGCCCAAGTTCTGTACTGGCCCCTCATTTTTATGGTTTTAACAGTATTTTCATGAGATGGGATTTGCCACATCTCCAGTAAGTTTCATAAATTTGGAAAACAACTACCCTGCAAATCCACTACTTGCAAAGGAAGTATCATACTTACTAAGAAAGCAAATTAGTTCTGAGCATGTATCTTTAAAAGCAACACTTGAAAAAGACCTTCTGTGGCCTCACAAGTCCTGCTAACAGATCTAGGTCTGACACCTAGCAATGCCCAGGGGTTTTGCAAGTCTTGTAGAAGTGATTCAGTTTTCAGCCATCATCAAAGGTTTTGGTAGAGTAAAATTATATGAAATCTGTAATACACTTGTTAACATTTATAGTCCAATGATCAGTTAGAAGTATTATTGCATCTGAAGCGTAAAAATATAGGAGGTTCTATAAAGAAAAATTAAAATAGCATTAATCTAGTAGTGATAGTCATATAAAATAACTCACAATTATGTAAGTTTCCATATTTAATTATACATTTAAAAATAACTTATAAAAATAATCAAGCTTCTTTAAAACTCCTATGATACTTTCTTTTAGGAGTTTTTACTCAAATCTACTGATTGTCTAGCATCAGCAACAGCTTCTGGTACTCGAACAGTCATATTATCCATTGACTTCTTCAAGCAGATCTGGCAGCCTAAACGTGATCTGTAAGAAATAATACTGTTTTTAGTTCTAGCCAACCGTACACCTACCAGTATTTACAGCCCTGCTTCCCCAACATTTAGCCACCCCAAACACTTTATGGTCCAGAAACTGATCCCCTACTACTGCATGGTCATAACCAAGACCAGCCGTGAATTGCTTGCGTGAACACAAATATACATGATATCAATCATGGTCACAGATTTACATCCTTAACTTGGGACATTTACGTTGGGAAGTTTAACCTGAGTACTTTTCACTTGCTGAGGCAACAAGTACAAATGGTGACCCTTCCATTTTCAATGACTCACTAATAGCTCAGCCAAAGGTAGGAACAGGCACTTGATCTGCCACGGAACACTCAGCATCTCTGAAGAGACCAAGGAGAAAGCTTCAGTAAAAGCAAAGACTAACTCACCCACAGTCTTAAGACAGCTCAAGAAAACTGAGCACACATTTGTACAAACTAACCTGACAGCTTGGGTTAGTTTAACTTTTATAGTTTCCCAACAAACTACAACCTGAGAAGAGATTAGGGACTTCTTCCATTTGTGTCATTTGTATCTTTCTAAAAGTTCAAGTCAAATATTTTTGACTTTTACAAAATTTCTACCTGAAGTTCTATGCTTTTCCTTAAATATTTACAGGACAAAATATCTGTTTACCTCCTCCTAACACAGTTAGTGCTTAGACAGGTATCTAAGAAAATATATCTTCCCATGATCTAAATTAACAAAAAAACACCTCTGTGGTAAGGTAATGGAACCGCATGGAACACATTAACTACTTTATTATCATGCACAAATTATAGCTTCAGCAACTTCTAAAGTCTAAAATTTCATCTCTTCACAACTCACTCACTGGAAGCTTAGCACAACATTTGCTAGAAATTACACACATTAAAGAAGCCTGCCAACTTTTTAGCAGTTCATAAACAAAGAATCCTCAGCTGTAGTTTGCTAACTGGATTTTTTAAAATGAGAAAGTGGATGATGGTACTCCATGAAAAAACAGGAATATATTCTGAAAAGCATCTTTATGATCCTAAAAATTCACCCACACGATCAAAACGTTACCTTCACAGAAATAAGTGATTGAACACAGCTTGTGTATTGGATAAGACAGATTTAAACAGCTTCTTCACATCATTTTTAAACTCAATAGTCACTACTGAATTAATCCCCTCTTCCATTTTTGCTTCTTCAGTCCAGCAAAGCACAGCATCTTTCTCCACTGTTTTAACATCGGAGTCCAAGGCTTACTTCCCTGCTTTTCCAAGGAATTCAGTTAATTCAACCTATACACCTTGGTATTTAAGTAGGAAGTCAGTGCTGCACAAGTATAAAGACTGATAGTTAATCAGTATCTAGGCACAGTAGTATTTTCTGGTTGGATTTTTTGTTTGTTGCTGTTTTTTTTCCATCTGTTCTTACCTCATATTACAGACATCCCTCTCACTTTTTTTTTTAAACACCAAACTTTGAAGTGACTTTCCTGGAAAGACACTAGCTAGCTGACAACCCATTTCAAGTATGTAAAGCCACCACTGCTTCACCTGTCTCTCCATCATTTTGGAGCGCATTCAGACAAGCACACACAGCAGGTCAGGGAGGTGATCCTTCCCCACTAAACTCTTCCCTGATGGGACCACACCTAGAGTACTGTGTCCAGTTCTGAGCCCCCCAGTTCAAGAAGGACTGGGAACTCCTAGAGAGAGAACGGCAGAGTGCCACAAAGATGATCAGGGGCCTGCAGCATCCCTCTAAGGAAGGGCTGAGACCTGGACTGTTCAGTCTGGAGAAGATAGAGGGGATTTTATCAATGCTTATAAATATCTACGGGGCAGGAGTCAAGTGGACAGGCTGTTCTATTTTCAGTGGTGCTCAACAACAGGACAAGGGGCAACAGGCACAAACTGGAGCACAGGAAGTTCTGTAAAACATGAGGAAGAACTTCTTTAGTGGAAGGCTGACAGAGCACTGACACAGGCTTCCCAAAGACACTGTGGTGTCTCCTCTGCAGATATTTAAAACCCGTCCAGACACTTTCCTGTGTAATCTACTGTAGGAAACATGCTTTGGCAGGGGGTTTTGACTAGGTGATCTCCAGAGGTCCCTTCCAGCCCCTATGATTTTGTGATCTATTAACATCAAATTCTGTTCCCATCAATCAGTTGGAGAAGATTCTCCAAGGTGCAATCAGGGTTGATTTTTTCCCCTACACAGTAACACAGTACTGTATACAAACTTCCTCATCTTAGTCTTCACCTTTTTTTTCCCCAGGTATTTCACAGATACGGTCAATGCATAAAATCTAGCACAGATGAGCTTCAGATCCCACTTGACCACCTACATTTACAAGACAGTCAAGTACTTCTGTCTATCCTGTAGAAAAACAGTACTTTTTGACCAAATATTGATCCTCTGCAGGGCCTCTGCTCTTACCTCACAGCAATCCAGAACTCAGTAAAGGACTTTGGAAGCCAAGTAACTTCTGGAAGCATTAAGTATCTTTCATGCTCTGTGATTCATTTCAGAACTCCGATATCTGTTACTTCTGTCTAAAAAAGCTCTGTTGAATTCTTTCCTTACCACTATTTAGCAAAAGTTATAAAAAGCAACAGGCAATAGACACAGGCCTAATGCATCCAGCATGGAACTGGACTGACTGCTCTCTATAGCCAATAACATTATTTTAATGGTTAGCCTGCTACCTTCCATTCCTATAGTTCGGAAGCCATTCTAAGTTAACTAATTAAACCTCGTAGAGAGTAGCTCAGCAATATCATACTGAGTTCCTTTAGAGCCCCTGGGTGAATAATACCTACCCTTTCCATTTGTTACTACTGATTTATTTGTAGTACTACTTCTTCCATGGACACATAAGAGATCTTTCAGGAATTCCCATGCCAAGAAAGCTTCCAGTGCACAGAGATCCTGTAACATCTCCAGAGCAAACAATGCAAAAAACGTTTGCTGTTTTCATTATCTCTTTGTATTCTAAGTGCAGCTTCTGCATCATCTATTAGATCCTCATGCAGATGACTTTTTTGCTTCTGATAATAACAAGCAGCTTGCTGAAAAGTAGAAAGGTATTTGTTTGGTTTTTATCTCAGTATTTTTAAAACATTTAATTTGCCAGGGTTTGCTTTCCTTCCCTCTCATTTTCTTATGTTGAATAACCCCTATTATTCTGAAGTTGTTCAAAACAAGTTTGTTTTAGCCTTTCTAATAAGTCCCTCATTTTAAGAGGTATTAATACTCACAACAGTTGCTAGTTGAAACTTTCCAATTCCAGAGTCACTGACAAGAAATAACTTTTATCCTTAAACTTTTACTGCAATGCTCTGCCCTATCTCTGTTACAAAGCTTTGTACTAGCGTGACACCAGGCAACCTGTAGTAAACACGAGGATCACTCCAGCACTCTCTTTCAGAAAGTTGTCCTTTCACACATGAAAGATTTCTGGCCGCAGGAATAACGCGATGATAGGAAAAACCTACAAAATACTGAAGTCTTCAGAAGGCCTGAAACTTATTTTCTCTCAAAATTCTTTGGATTAAACTAATATTTAAACAGAGAACTCCGGCTTTCTACTGCTTTTCAGTTGTTCAATTAAAAAAAAAAAAACAAACTTGTTTGAAGCCTTTAATTAAAAGATGGACAGAGTAAAATAGAAGCTGAAACAGGTTTCTCAGCTTGACTTCTTTGCCTTCTCAATCTCCTAAAAAGATAACATTTAGCTGAAATGAGGAAAAAGTGTACTGTCATGCAGAAAAGATCTGTACAAAATTCCAGTGTTACTGGAAAAAGGAGATAAAAGGCTTAATTCAAATTAATTCCTTGCAGAGACACTGAAAAATAAACACTATACAGGCCAGGTATAAAGCCCTCTGAAATCACTGGAAAGACTCTCAGAAACTTCAGCAAGCAGTCCCTTTGAAACCTGAAGGAAAAAGCTAATAAACCTCACTCAGCACAACTGCTTACACCTCATGTGGCTACATTCTCTGAGACAGGCTACGTGCAGCCCACTGGGAACAGTGGTCCAGCCTACTAGGAACAGCAGGTAATACAGCCCACTAGGAGCTCTAGGTGTGTGAAATGAAATGCGCCAGATGAGAATGTGACATCTGTGTTATGAGGCATGTGACAGTGGGGAGGATGAAGAGGGGTAGTTCAAACTTGTGCTAGTCTAGTTCTAGGCACTGAAGTGCCCATTCAGAATTGGAGCACACTGGCCTTAGTTTCACCCAAGTGGTAACTGGGTTGTAGGTTTGAGAAATGCTCTGACATGGGTAGGGACGCAGCCACGTGGAACACTTCAGCCTGGAGAAAAGAAGGCTCAAGGGAGATCTGATCAACACATACAAAAGCCTGAGAAGCCATGGAGTCTCCTCTTCTGAGATATTCAAAAGCCTCCTGGACATGGTTCTGAGCACCCTTCTCTGGGTAGCCCTGCTTGAGCAGGGTCTGGACCAGAGGAGTCCAAGGATGGCTTCCAACTTTAACTATTCTACAGTTCTGTGAAAGAAGGTCTGATACAAACTAAAATACAAATCTAAACGCATCCCTAAATAAACAAAGTGCTGATTGATGGGATCAGAAAACAGAAAGGAAACAAGAAGGAAGTTCAGAAACAGAACTGCAGTAGCAAAGTTTTTGGTGAAGAAACTGGGATTTTGATCATACCTCAGTATCTGAGGCTCCTACATCAGACAATTATGAAGAGCCACTGTTCAGGTTCTCAAAAATGGACAGCATTTTCATCAATATTTCATCAGCAGTACCAACATTAGTATGAACTCAAAATTTCAACTTGCCAGTCCTATCCACGTAACAGAATGCAGCTATTCACTAAAAGCTGATTAAGGCAGTTTAAGAACACTGGACTGCTCCACTTGCAAACCCTCCTTTCCATTTACTGATGTAGCAAAGCATCACGTTGCCTTACGTTTCTGTGAGACCATATGCCAGGTCTAGCATGTCCATCTCTTCATCAGTAATTGCATCTAGTTTCTCAAATATGTGGTCTTCAAAGATTAAATGACAAGTTGAACAGGCTAATGTTCCTTCACATGCACCTAAAGAGAACAGCAAGTTAACAGAAAATTCCAAATAACTCAATTTCACAACAATACTTCAATACAATACAGAACATGTTTATGCTAACATAATAAGCAGTGTAACTCGTCATCAGACTGCACAGTAAGAACTGCACAGAAAGCATTGTGCTGCTACACTTCCCAATGGTATTAGCAGCACATATTCAAATCAAGCACGATACTGTACTGCATGATTCAATTTTGAAAATATGTTTTTTTGTACATAAAAATACATATGGAAAGCTTTAAAGAACTGCAAAGTGCTTAATGTAGAAGCTGCCACATCAACAATTTGTGTATTCTAAGACTGGGGAAAATAGTAATAAATAAATTAAAAAGAAAAGAAAAATCACACTGAGTAGACTGTTTGAACAGTGGAAGGTCTTACTGCAACTGCAAGGCAGCAGCAAACTACTCAAGGGCACCTGAACTGTACAACAGTTTAATTTCCATGCACACATTTCTACTATTACTGCACGTAGGATGCCCCCTAGTGATAGAAGTAAACAGATAACACCTGTGTTTTACATTTTTTCCTCATTATCTATCCCCCCTCTAAAAACTGCATATATTTCTACATTATTTCCACTGCATTATTTCTCTGCTCTAGTATGGTGCTTCATTACCAAATTATTATTGAAATTGGTACAGTATGTTATAATTAAAGGTTAGTAAGGTATTAGTAAAGTATCTCAAATGTTTATTTTGGACATTATTTACAGTCTATTGACATTATCTTTTTCACTCCACTTCACTATAATGTTTTAACATGGCTGATATTAAAATGAAATGAGAGGACCTTAACTGTAGATTAAAGAGTAGCCATAAGCCTATACATAGATTTATATAATGATATATGAAGGTAGCTATGTCAATGTGTTGTGCATTTTTTAGTTTATTCCTCGAATGTATACAATCCATAACAATATTCTTTAGAATCTTTAAGATTTCTTACCAGCAATGGCATGTATTCATACTTAAATAAAACACACATTACATTTCAAGCTGTGCTGAACTAGCATACTTTCCCCTCCACTCTGTAACTGCTCCATGCTATATATTCATTCACCAAAACTGTAGTCCCACTTTCTGCTTTACTAATATTATTACTTCCTAAACTCACATTAATTTAAACATATGTTCTGAAAGTTTGCTTTGTATAGTCAGAAGCCTGTAACCACCATGGAACTAACTGTGGAAAGTCCAAAGTTCAGAAGAAAAAGAGGTTTCTTAACTTCCTTCTGTTTTGATTTTAAACAGAACTTGTACTGAGTTAGAATACCCCTAACACATCGCTCTCCTTTGCCTCGCTTCTCTTATTAGAAGTTTTTGCTCTTCTTTGCAAACTGACATACCTGGCTGTTTCTTTCATTGGTCATTCAAGTACGACAGCAATATGTGCTATAAAAAGCCAAATAACAAATTCAGATCACACGACAATAGAGAAGTAACTCAACACTGTCAGAAATACGCCATTTCTGTGTGGCCTTCAGAAGCTTGCAGCTCAGGAATCTCACAGGTGGCATCTCTCATCTTCACAGAGAAATTGTCCAAGCAGCTAGAGATCAGGTTAGGAAAGTTAAAGCCTGGACAGAATTGAATGTGGCCAGAGACACAGAGAGCAACAAGAAAAAACTTCTTTAAGCACTGCCAGCAATAAAATGAAGACTAAGGAAAATGTGAGCACCCTCTGGAAGGAAACGAGAGCTGGTTATGTGGGACACACAGAAGGCTGAAGTTCTCAAACTTACTTGCTTCAGGCTTTATCAGCAACTGCTCTAGTCACATTGCCTAAGCCACAGAAGGCAAAGGGACTGGGAGGATGAAGAACTGCCCACTGTAGGAAGAGATCAGACTCAAGGCATCTAAGGAACCTGAATGTGCACAAGTCCATGGGTCCTGATGAGATGCATCTGAGCATTCCAAAAAGAACTGGCAGATGAAGTTGCTAAGCCACTATCCATCATATTTGTGAAGCTGTAGCAGTTCAGTGAAGTTCCCACCGGAGAAGTAAAAGGAGAAATATAACTCTTATTTTTTAAAAAGAAAATAAAGGAAGACCCAGTGAACTACAGGCCAGTCACTCTCACCTCTTTGCCTGACAAGATCACAGAGCAGATCCTCCTGGAAACTATGCTAGTGCACACAGAAAATAGGGAGGTGATTGATGAAAGCCAATATGACTTCATTAAAGGCAAATCATGCCTGGCCAATCTAGTGACCATCTGTGACAACATTACAGTATTAGAAGACAAGTCCATCTACTTGGACTTGTACAAAGCATTTGAAACTACCCCACACAGCATTCTTGTCTCTGCACTGGAGACGTGGATCTGATGGATGGACCACTGAGTGGATAAAGAATTGGTTGGATGGTCACACTCAGAATTGTGGTCATGCCTGGGTGGAGATCAGTGACAAGTGGTGTCCCTTGGGCGACTGATACAATTTAGCATCTTTGTCAGTAACATAAATAGTGGGATTGACTGCAATCTCAAAAAGTCTGCAGACAACACTCAGCAGAGTGGTATGATCAGGATACAGCGGAGGAAATGGATGCCATCCAAAGGGACTTGGACAGTCTGAAGAGGTGGGCCTGTGCAAATCTTATGAAGTTCAGTAAGGCCAAGCGTAAGGTCCTGAAGCCAGGCTGGGGCAATTCCAAGCACAAGTACAGACTGGGTGGAGAATGAATTGAGAGCAGCTATGAGATAAGGACTTGGGGAGGGTGGGGGGAGAAGGAATTCGATCTAAAATTCAATATGAGCTGGCAACATGGCACTTGCAGCCCAAAAAGCCAACTGTATCCTGGACAGCAGGGTAATCACAGAATGGCCAGGGTTGGAAGGGAACTCAAGGATCATGAATCTCCAACCCCCCTGCCACATGCAGG